AAAAAATTATTTTTTTATCTAAACCTTTTCTAATCATTTGAAAATTCACGAAATTTCAAATTCATTCGAATAAAACACCAACCATTATCTATGCGGATGCAAAGAATTTCATTCACAATCAATGAATTCCCTTATCATTCTCTGTAATTTTCTTTCTTCAAGAAAAATCAATATGTCAAAGATGTAAAAAATTTTATTTAAAATCAAATAAAATATTATCATTTGTTACGTTACCATCATTTTGATTAAGATTTTTACTATGGATTGGCTCCATCTCATCCCTCTACTATTAATTAACTCCCTCCACCTGCCATCTCTATACATTGCAAAAGAATGCCAATGTCGTCCCGTCATCAATGTAAGCTAACGGTGCTCTTTATTGATAGTTAAGTGTGACGGTCACACCGTTAGGCCTTTTTCAATCTTTTCTTTTTTGCCACCTTACCTTGTGGGACCCACTTTGCACACATCCACTCTAACAAAATTTTTTTGCCTTACCGCTACCCCCTAACATGGATCCTGCAGACGGGTACTATGGAATTTACAATGGGTAATTTTCAAATAACAAAATATGAAAATCCCATTATTTGAGAAGACAAAGGATAAATAAGGATGATAACTTTGTTATTAATTTATTTAAAAATACAAACTTTTCAAAATTTTAAATTACATAGTAAATTTTTTTTTAAATGATAAAATAAAATTTTACAATCTTTCCTACATTTTTTTGAAGATTTATTAGAGAATGATAATAACGTAACAAATGATAATCTTAATCAAAATAGGATAATATTCATGTATTTAAATTAAAAAAGTAAAAATTTACTATTTAATTTAAAAATTCAAGGAAATCTTAGGTAATCTCGTAAGATATTAAAATATATAGTTTATCGACATGTTCAGTACAGAGTTTTTTTTTTAATTTCTTTGCAACAGTTTTCGCTCTCTTTATATTCTGTTTAATCTTAAATAAAATTCTTTGCATTTTCAACACACTGGTTTTTTTAGAAAAAAGAAAATTATAGAGAATGATAAGGGAATCCATTGATTGTGAATGAAATTCTTTGCATTCGCATAGATAATGGCTGGTGTTCTATTCGAATGAATTTGAAATTTTGTGAATTTTCAAATGATTAGAAAAGGTTTAGACAAAAATATGATTTTATCTTTTTTTTTTATTTAAA